CTAAATGTGCGCAAACATTAAAACAATATGAAAAAACATGTATATAAAATCTCAACGCAAGAATTAACTAAAAATCACAAGTCTTAAATTAAAAACTAGAAATCAAGTAGTTTCATCATCCATCCAATACAAATAAACTTATTGATATGAAAATTACATAGAAAATAAAAGAAAGCCATCACTTGAATCATGTAAAATTGAAGAAAATTTGGAAATTGACTCTTCAGGCCTTCGAAATTGGATCCAAAATGGTGAATTCCTCCTCCTCAATGTGATTCTCTCCCTTTTGTTCTAAAAAATACGGCTCTACTCTAAAAGTTACGGAATTCACCCTTATATATCCTTCAAAAAGTGCCCTAAAATAATACCAAAACAAAATAAAAGAATTATAGTTCTGTCCCCGTTTTACATTGAGGCGTGTGCCTAGTAGAAACTAGGGCGTGCGCCTTAGCCTTTAGGTAGGCGTCAGTCGAGGCCAATTTGAGGTGAGGCACGTGCCTCGCCTGCAAGCGAGGGCAAGCGCCTTAGGCAATTTGGCCCCCATTTTTTCCACAGCATTCATTATGGCCCATTTTCTTCATTTCATCAGGTCTTTACTCTTTTCTTCATGTCCAATTGACTCCTTGCACTCTCGGCTTTCGTTTCTCGGTACGAGCTAACTTTTGATTATTTGCCTTTTAGTCCTCATCTCCCCTTTTGCATCGATTATCTCCCTTTCTTGCATCATTTTCTCCACTTTTGTTGTTTTCGTCGATGTGAACCTAAAACATAATGTAAACCCCAAATTTAGCCATAATTCAATCTAAATATCACAACTATCCATATTTTGACAAACTGATTAAGCGAAATAAATGCACTTATCACTCTAATTTTTTTAAAAAAAGTATCTTCTTTTGAGCTGGCATATTCACCAATTAAACCAGAAAATGACCCATCACTGTTCACATCGAATTGGTGGTTTGACAAAGAAGCATCTGATTGGAGGTTTCATCATGTTTTCAACATAAC